GAAATACGACATTTCAGGGACACTATACCTATTTTGAATCACCCTGTATACAGCGCGTAGTGCGACGTTGCCACGTCTTTAGAGTCTAATATCAAAATCTGTGAGATTACTGCAGTTTGCTTTTCCTTCTAAAAAACGAGTAAGTGAATTATTATAAAATTTTTCATAAACTTGTGCCAATGTATTTTCTATACACCATAATTTTTTCGAGAATTGTTCTTTATTTTTTCATTACATTCTAAATGCAAATGTTTCATAATCCGTCAATCTCCAAACAATATGTTGTTTAAAATCGGGATATAAAACATTTTATAGATATCATTAAGACATCTTGTACACGTAACATCATAAGACGTCTTATAATACCTTATATTTCTATTTTAGACAGCGTGTTGTCTAGAACGCACAAAAAATTTAAAAAATTAATAACTTGAAAACGAATCAGTCAATTGATCTAAAATTTATCACAGGTTTTCATGATATATAAATGCACAACTCCTGTAAATTTCAGCTTTTTCCCTCTATTTTAACTTAAGTAACGTACATCCTTAAGAGGAGAAGAAAAAGTCAGGATGGTGTCAATTTGGTGTCATATTGACCAAATTTATGTCAAAATTAACCAAAATTTCACACAAATTTGGTCAGTATGACATGAAATTGACGTCAACCTGACTTTTTCTTCTCCCTGGGAGGTTTCTCTCTGGTGTACGATGTCGGCGCGGCGGGAACTTTCGAATCGGCGCGCGCGATCTCGGATCCCCTAGGGAAACTCGGCGCCAACGGGTTGGCGGGTCCGGCCGTGACGGACAGTTGTCATTCCTCTTCCGTGAAGTTGCTCCCGTGTGCGATTTCTACGCCTCGCGCACGTCCGCCGCGCGCTCCCGCGATTGTCGCGCGCGTAAAATGCGCTAGCCGCCCTCGCGGATCACCGCCGGACAGCATTTCGTTCAGGTAACGCCGCCGGATCCTCCGACTCCGCGTGTCGCGCGCGGCCGCCGGACCGTCCGCGTACTTTTGAGGTTAGGCTCTCTCTCGCCCGAGTCAGACCCCGAGTCCCTCTCGCTCTCGTCGAGGAGGGCACGCGTTGTCACGTCCGCGCGTGTCAGCGAGTGCGGTGACGAAAGTGCGAGGCACTCGCCGACCTGACGGCGCACTCGCGAGTACCGACCGGGAGCTTGCAACTTCTAACGCGCTCTGACGAGTTGTAGCTGGTGTTAACGAGTTGTAGCGAGTACCAGCGAGTTAGAGCGAGTCTCGAGGAGCACTCGCGAATACCAGCGTATACAGCGTGCGCGATTGCTCGCGCGAGTCTCGCTCGGGAGATCGTGAGCTGTCAACGCCAGTTCGGCAAAATGATGAATTTTCTGGATCACTCCTTTTCTCCCTTCATTCACACTTGCAGTTTCTCTCGTCGAATTTCCGCCCTGGCATCTCTTGCCATGTATACATGCGTTGTCTTTTACTAACGTGCGATATTTTTGTTGCAGTGCAGTGTTGACAGTGAATACGTAGAGCATGACGGAGCCGAAGCCATCAGGACTGCGACCACCGTCGAAGATAGGCCGGCCCTGCTCCACCATGCCTCCCAGACCGGCGATTCCGCCTTCCCCGTTGAGACCAGCGACCAGTGAGTCCCACAACAGAATTAAGCGCCGTTCTCTTTTGTCGCACGCGTGTTGTATTTTTATGTTACTTTGATCGAGTGTTGTCTGTGATACCCGTTATCCATTTTTCTGCTAAAAACGGATACGACGTATATATATATATAGATGTCTGACACTAATAGAGGTGTACAAAAACGCAGTATCTCCTGTGTGTTAGGTGGAAAAATAGTTGACGTGTCTATTAATAAATATGTGTGTGCCGGCTGTTTATAATGTCCCATCTTTTACTCACGAGACAACAGCACGGTTGTCTTTTACGTTTCACGCTCTTCGTTCCGGTTCTAATTTTTGAAACGCTGACGCACAGAGAAGTTTCTTTGAAAATTTACCCTGAAAGTAATGTAATCGTGGGACTACGTGGCGTTTTGGAGAACTCTAGAGTTTTTTCAAATTTTACCCTACATTCTATTAGGTGGTAAACTTAGTTTCCGCGGTGTTTCTTGTTTAACAAACTCATTTATTTTGATATCAAAAGCAAAAAATACACCAATCAAAGTATCTGCCCTCGCCGGCTATACAGTTTTCCCATCTATTTGGCAATGAGTGGATTCCGCAACGATAGAACGATTGGTCTTCTGATGCAATCCACTCATCGATCCGTGTTCGCACATCCTCGTAATTTTTCAAGTGTGTATCCACCAAGCCGTGCCGCATCGATCGGAACAAGTGATAATCTGAAGGAGCCAAGTCTGATGAATACGCCGGGTGCGGGAGAACTTCCCACTCGAGCTGCACATCAGTGTTTCCTCGACGGCTTTTGCAACGCGTGGTCGAGCGTTGTCGTGCAAAAGAATAACTTCCTCTCCTTTTGAATCTTTCCCATTACATGTAGACGTTTGGAAACAGCCATCGCAGTAACATTTAACGCTGCAGACAATTCTTGGAGCGTTTGAGCTGAGTTTTCGTTCCCAATAATGCCTGCAATTCGGTGTCTTCAAACCTTTTTCGGCTGACCTGAGCGTCGTTTGTCATTCACATTAAAATCACCACTTTTAAACCGCTGAAACCATTCTTGGCATGTTCTTTCCGGTGGAGCACAATTGCCATAAGCTTCGACAAGTAAGTAACTTCCGAGCTGTAGCTGCAGTTTTTTTTTCAAATCAAAGTAATGAAGCGGCGCATGTCGAAAAAAAAGAGAACAACTTATCACGTTCCATGTTTAATCAAAAAAAAGAAAATGGCGCTGTTCGCTTAAATGAATCTTTTCGCACTGAATTTTATTGACAAACGTGGAATCCGTGCGGGAGAAATCTTGCCGAAAGTATCTCTCTCCCTTACTTTATACGCGCGAGAGAAGTTCATTGCCGTCCGCCTCGTGCACACGAATTGTAGATTAAGATGAGTCGGCCGATAACGACAAGTGAGGCAAACTTTACGCTGGTCTGCTTTCGCGATGGCAGTTTTCTCATGCTGTAAAAGCGCGAGGCCGATCTCGAGCGCGAGTACCACGTTACTGTGACTACGTTTCCACCGAGGGTCAGAGTCGGGCTAGAGTCGGGTCAGAATCGGGTTGGGGTGAGCGTTTTTGCGGTGGAAACACCTAACCCCAACCCGATTCTGACCCAGTTTGGTGTTTCCACCATAGACTTAAGAAAAGATAGACAGAGCATAAAGTGCTGTTATGGGCCAGGGGGGGTGTGATAAACGCGGTAAGGGGAAATAACGGACAGGTTCGATAAACTTCGGTTAGTCTCGGAAACATTCGGGTTTGATACGTTGTATCGTGTCAAACCTAACCATAACTGCGAATCCGAAGTGTACCGATACGGAGAGCATGCAGTGATACTTTTATTAAAAGTGAATTTTAAAGTGATTTATACCATACAAAAATGAGTTTTTGTATTGTATCCGGTTGCAAAAATCGGAAGTTCGAAAAAAACTTCGAACAAGAAGAAAAAGAAAACATAATGAAACGTCCGTTTTCATTTCACTCGTAGGTATATGAGCTATTGCGTTTAGGTTATATAATTTCGTATGATTTTAATAATTGAATTATTCATTTA